CCCCCCCCCACCCTCGATTATTCGCCCACGGCTTCTCCCGGAAATCCTCGTCGTCGTCGTGTCCGCGACCTCGGGGGGAAAAAACTGCGCGCTGAGACACGCTTCTCCGCTCCGTGGTTGTCGCGCACAATACGCTTCCCGTGGAAAATCGCGTTCCGCCGATCGCTCTCTCGCCGTGAGATCTCTCTCTCTCTCTCTTTCTCTCACATTGATCGCGCACGAGGCCACGGGAACGACGGAGGCGCGACGACGGTGACAGTTCCGCGTCTCGGAGATATTTGCAATTTCAAATTGCCGTGGGAGCGCGGCGACCAAGGCGGTCCGCTGCGCATTTAGCCTCTTGTCGCGATCGCCGGAGCGTAGACAGCGGTGTACCGTGCGAATGTTCGGAGTGTCTCTCCTCTCTCCTTCTATGTATCTGTCCATACATCCATCCGTCCGTCTATCTGTGCACCTATCTGCTCGTCTATCCATGTCTGCGCCTCTTCGCGCGACGCAGTAAGAAACGAGAGAGAGAGAGAGAGAGAGAGCTTCGGTCGAGTATCCATCCATCGCGCGTTCTAAGAGTTCCTGCATTCACAATCAGTTCTTATATATTTAAGGTCGTCTTAAGTTCATCTCCGGACGTAGCCGGTGAAATGACAGCATCCGAAGTGAACTCAAGACGATCTTCCGGCTGCGGCCGGTATTCACGGCCAGTTATATTCGAGACCGTCTTCGGTGCATCTTTTCGTAGCTAATGAAATGAGTCGTAAAGAAGATGAAACTCAAGACGATCTTGATTAGTAAAAAATCGGACTGTAACACACCGGCCTGAGATTCTCTAGATGGGCCGGGGTTACTCCGGGCACAAATGCACAACGCGAAGAAATTGATCCTTGACTTTTGCGTGCGCCAACACGAGAGAACCTTTATGTCTCGTTGCCAGTCGTCGGCCGTATTACTCCGGGGTAGCGCCCGGAGTGCCGTTGATTAACGGCTAATTCGCACGGTAAGCCACGATGCTGACTCCCATCGCGTGACCAACGTGCAACCCGGACAGATGTCATTATCCTAAGTGCGGAGAATGTGTAACAAATAGTCCAACAGGTAGGCACCCGCGTTATAAATCTGCCCACGTATCGACTTCNCCCCCCCCCCCCCCCCTTCTCTCTCACCCCTTTTAAGTCTCTCGTGCTCGTAGACTGTGTGTGGAAATCTCGAGATAATTAAGTGGGATTGTTAACGGCCAATCGAATTGTTTTTCTTAATAATTCTACGACTGCATGTTCTCTCTCTTTCTCTTTCTTTCTTTCTCTTTAATATACATAAACAAAAATGAGTATTGATTCAAAGTTTAGAAGCAATAATATGTAATCTTATATGAAAGTAAAACTTGCTCCTGTGTAAATAAATTCTATATAGTCTCGTTAAAATTATATTCATGTTGTTCAAGAATAATTTTCACGAATTGAGAGGAAAAAAGTATCGGATGGAAGAAACAATATATTCAAACTACGTTAGAGCCCAGTTAACATTGAGACAATAAGGCGTCTAAAGGACTGGGATGTTTTAGACGTGTTATTTCGGAAGACATCGTCTTTTCTCCAATATTTCATCCTCTCAATTCATAAGAATTATTATTGGAAATTATGGAATAAGCGTGTGACATTTTCAGTGAAACTGTAAAACTTTTTTCATGTAAGAGTAAACTCGATCTTTATATAAGATTATATATAAAAGTTTCGAGTTCTAATTTTTTCCCCGTGCAGTTACCGCGTGAATTTCACATCCCACTCGATTCTCATCGCGATCGGCTAAATGAAGGCATATCTTTCCCCACAAAAAGACATTCTTCCCCGAGGACAAACTGTTCCCACCGACCATGTGACGTTCGATTTTCACGAGCGACGTTCCCTCGTGCTCCTTCGCACGCGCGCGATCCGGTTCACGGTGGCCGAATCCCCGACGACTGCTCGATTGCATTGTATTCCGTCGAAATTAGCACGTTATTACCGCAATTATGCACCGTAATTGGCAACGGGCGGGCGTTGTGTGTGCCGTTCTAATGAATCTCGCTAACCGTACCGATGATGTGCCGTTCAGAGTCTCTCACTGACGCCGGCGAGGCCGCGGCCAGGTCACGCGGCCTCTGGAGGAACGACGACGGGAGGCGTCGACGACAGCGATGCCGAGAGCGTGAAGAGTTACGGCAGTGCTTGCAGCACGGCGAGCGCCTGCGAGCACGCCTCCTTCGCGTTGAACGGCACCACCTGGTCCGGCCGATCGCGGAAATATGTCGTGCACTGTTCGAATCACAATGATAGCGAACAATACCTCACGCCTACGCAGAGAGCCGCCAGACAAGTCAGGAAGTTTCAGGTAATTGCGTGAAATGGAAGGCGAAAATTCGCTCGGTTCGTTCGGCATTTATTAGCCGGATTCGCGGGAGTGCTGATTATAGTGAACGATTAAAAGTCTGATGTATAAACATAGCGTTGATAAGAACAATAAAAACAATTATATTTTATATATATTTAGCTCTCGTAATATTTCGTATATTACGAAATATATGTTTATTTTTCAACCTCGTCACAAATTAATATTGATTATTTGGGTAGCGAAATAAATGCGTAGAAACGTAACTTCGCTCAATAGACGCTAAATTTATGAATGGCCCCTTTGATGCGTCGCTGATAGTAAAACACTGAGCCTCACAATCTCCTCAAAAGAGGTATTGTAAGCGTCATATGTGCGCACTAAACGATACGCGAAGTGCTTGAAGAATCGATCCCCTGTTTCAAGAGGCGTCCCAGCCAGCACAGAGTGCACAGAGTCTAGAATTGAGTCATGAGACGTCTTTAAGACGCAATAAGGACATCGGATTACGACTATTGAATGCACGATTCCAAATTCGATCGGTTATTTCCCAGGCAGCGTCGAAAATCGGGTTACGAGACGTCTTGAATATGTAACGTCTCGCGGAAAGACGTGCCGCTGTGTCTGAGAAACGTGGTCGTTCGAACGTGGAATCGTGCGGTTCGATAATGACTTATTTCCCATTCGTTCCACAAACTGGCCGTTCCTCCAGGCTCTGTTGAAGGATGCACGTAAGGAGATCGAGGAGAAGGACCGGGAGATCCTGCGGCTGACGAAGGAGGTCGTGGAGTTACGGTTGTACAAGGCAGCTCTGAACAGTCCGGACGAGCGGACGGACAGCAGCGACGCTCTCACCGTGCGCGAGAACAACCCCTTCTCGCCGGAGTCGCCGAGCAAGGATCTCCCCGACGAGGAGGGGCTCGTGGAGAAGGCCGCCAGTCCGGATACTCCGGAGAAGCGCGTAAACGCCGACCTGCCGCCGTCGTTGTCCGACTCCGGCCACTTCGAGGATGGTTCCGTCCATTCGAAGGAATCCGTGTGCCTGCCGGAGGCGCGGCCGGAGATCGCCGGCGGTGCGTCGACGACTGTCGTCGCCACGGCGGTACCCGACGACACCGATGCGTCGGTCGCCGCGCCGACGGACCGAGACGATGAGAGGCGTCGGCTGGTGAATCATTACGAGAATAGAATCGAAGACATGCATAGGCGGCACGTCGACGAGCTGCAGGAGCTCAAACAGAAGCACAACGATAAGGTACGGGTGTGGGTTTACGCACGATGCGTGACAAGTTCCGCCGTCACGCTCGCGCGAGCGGACTGAACGATAATGCGGTTGTAAAACGCGGCAACTTGCGGCTCCCCTGCAGGTGGAGAGCTTGCTGAATCAATTGTCCGAGGTCAACACCCGTTACTGCGAGGTGCGGCCGGCCATGGATATCGCGGAGGCTCGGGCACGCGAATTAGAGGTGGAACTGGAGGCTGTGAGGACCGAACTGAACGAGCAGAAGAGCTTGATGAGCGAGCAGGAGGAGAGGAACAAGCAAATGTACCTGAAAATGTATACCAAAGGTCAGGAAGCCGCGCGCATCGAACAGGCTGATCAGGTACGTTGCGCGGATGTTTGTTCAACCGGAGGAGAAGGATCGATGTCACTTGATTTCGCTTCTTCGTGATGTTGCAGATATTCGTGCAGGCCCATCAATCACCGCCTAAAGTCACCGTCGCAGAACTCCTTCAGCAGTTGACCGTCACGCAAGCCGAGCTGGAGAATATTAAGGTGAGATATTACGCATATTTAGCCCGCTATCTTGAAAGCTTCGCGTTGATGAGAATACACGGAGGAGATTTCGCAGCGCTGTAAAACGACATCTCTCTTTCTCTCTCGCTCTCGCTGATCGTAAACGGAGTCTCGCTTCGCGCTCCGTCTACGAGGTGATTTCCGAGATCGGTGTTCATTCGTTTCGAAGAAAAAAATCGAGGGATTTCCAAGCGTGTCCTTAAACCTCGCTTCAAAGCGTTGACGTTAGCTGGAAGAGAGAGAGAACAAAACAAAGATAGCGAAAATTCGTCGGCGTAACGCGGTCTTTTTCAGCGAATTCGCGGATTTTCGATCGTCATCGGCGAGCTTTCATAATGTTAGACTGCATCGCAATACTTGCACATTACGATTCTCTCATTATCAACTCGACACATTCGCATTCCTCGTTTCCCCCGCTTCCGATCGTCCTTCTTTAGATGTGCGCGCCATCCGAAGAAGAGGGCATTGACAACCGACGAGGCTCGCGCGAATTAATCCCGCCGATCTTCTCGCCGGCCGGGAAGAGCCGGTCCTCCCGCGATCAATTCCGCCCTAACACCGCCCGTCTCCGAAGCGACACGTCCGATCAAAGAAATCCCGATAGCGCGCGAGTTCTCTCGTCCGAGCGATCCGAACAATCCGAGACAGCTTCTGCATTTCTTCCTTCCAGACATCGTTTATTCATATCTCACATTGTTCACATTGTTTACGAAGCGTGTTTTACATCACTCTGTTTCGAGCATCTCCGTAGTTCACGATACTCTTGTACTAACGATGTGCCACTTTTTGTTGATCGCCGCTCACACTCCAGGACACAAGCTACTCGCCTGAACCTCACATTTCAGCCGAACATAGCCAAAGTTTGTTAAGCGCTCAGGAGGCTGTTTCTCTCTGGGTCCTTGGCACACGTAAGGTCTGTATCTTAACTCGTGACTCGCTACGTGACGCAATTCTCATGCACTCTTTTACCGCCCATTTATACATATATATACATATATATAATATATATATATATATATAAATATAAACGTTGCATTCGCCCGCATTTATACGACGCACCGATCTTCCGTCGATTTATCTCTTCCGCATCGAGAATCGACATTCCGACACGAAAACGCTCGCAATCTTATAATGAAATCAATCCACGAGACGCGACGCGATTCTCTCCCTCGTGACTTCGTCCTCCCGTAAATGTCACGCGAGGTATCCCAGAGAATGATCGTCTCTCGCGTCAGTGGCTGGCTGAGGGGAGCGACGATAACTCCGGGGAGAGCCTGTAAACGAGTTCCTTTCGACACGGGCGTGCGGAGGAGAGCACAATTGCGCTCGTATATTTCCTATTACACTCGCGTTAGTGAACGCTTTTGCCATCGCAACAATTGCATGTGGGTTATCAAGCACCGACGTAGATGGTTCATATTTTTATACATTACTCTTAGATCGGGCGATTAATCTGTGCACTAGGAAGAAACAGCCTCTATCATCTTCGTCAATGTAAGTTTGCACGTGCTTACAGCCCATGCACGCTTCCACCATTGCGTACAGGTGTGTAACTTATTACCTTTTCAATCCGTACGGTTCGAGATTGATCTTGAGCCGCAGGATATACCCGATCGATCATCACGAGGTTGGTTGTAATATCATGCGTTTACGCGCGAACTTGACCTTTGATGCTTGATGTTACAACGAGTACATATTATTACACCTGGGGAATTTTCAATCGGACGGATCGGACGGCGGTGAACCGCCGGGAATCATCGTGCGTGAAATTTCGAGAGAGTGGAGTCGAATGTACACGTGGATTCAAATCTAATAGGATGTAATCATATGTACTGAAACAGTTGTATAGTTCCGAAATGTGTCTTCGTGTCGCGACTCTTCTCAATTCCGATTCCTCAACGAGCACGTTCCTTTGTTCCCGTTAGGCAATGTATCGGCGCATCGTGGAGGCGAGGAGCAGTCAGGGTACTCTCGACCCGGAAATCACTCTGCAGTTTCTCAAGTCGGCGATCTACTATTTCCTAACTGACAAGGAGAATCATCACGGCCACTTAAATGCTATTGAAAGTATCCTGGGCTTCACGGAGGCGGAAAAGCACAACATCGATAGACTTTATCGATCGGCGAGAAAGTAACGCTTTCTGAGAGCCTTCAAACATGAAAACGTTATATCATCGTTGACGAGTGGTGTTAGGTTTGTTCGATTTAATACCTGAATTTTCAAATACTTGTTTTCATTCTTCGGTATGTTTTAAGGAAGATAACGTTTTTGTGTTCGGAAACAAAAGATGTGTATGAACTTCATGGATATCTTTTTATATAAATGAAATAACTTGAGAAAGTTGACGATAAGCAATATGGGAAATTTGTGCATTCTTTAATTCTGGCCGAATTGAGGCTTGTGATAAACGCTGCAGAAAATTTGTATATTTGTATATTTGTTTAACTGTGAGAAATATTTTTTTAGTGGTGACAATTTCCATTTGTCTCCGTTATCACAGTACTCATGAAGTTTATACAGATATTTTAGGTATAGTCTGTATTTTCATTGGTTTTTATTTATATTTGCGTTACATTTAAGGCAGGAAGAAAAGTGGATTATCCGATACGAAGCAATTGATTATAAATTAGCTCGAAACGTATCTACAAATTTCGTTACGATATTTTATAATTCGGACACCATACGTCACCATACTTACGCTAGGCCGCTACTGGTTAGCTGGCAACTTTTAGGGGGATTAGATTTGATAGTTCTGGGATTTAACACTATAAATGATAAACATACAGCTTGGGAAAGGTTCTAGGAAATTTAATTATGGCTGTGTGTAATTTCAACGCTCTACGATGGCCATGTATTACAAATATAATTATACGCATCTTGTGCGATTTAAATGCTCTAAATTAGTGCGTATAAATATTCTAGTTATACGTAAAAGAAAATCTATTGTCTAGTTATCGCAAACCAAGTTTTGCTCTTTTACTGATTATTACGCATGCATCTTATATATACATATATATCACGATAACTATATGAAACGTTTGAAAATTGAGCAAAAAGTATGTGATATAGATGAAGTATTATCGAAGAGAAAGATTTAAATCGACCTTGAGAATTTATCTTTGTATTATATTATTTGAAATGCATGCCCATCCATGTACGAGTATGAAAATTATATATATATATATATATATAATATGTATGTATATATAATACATATATATATATCTTTCTCGTTATCACGCGGATCCCTGAACAAATAGATCAAATTTATTTATATATTTACTTGTTATAAATGAAATATATGTATATACACATTAAAGTGTGTATATGTATATATATATATATATATATATGTATATGTATGTACATATACATGTTCAAGATCGAATAGATTTATATATATTTACTTGTAGCTCAAGTATACATATACTTGTTGAAGAAAATATACACATTATATACTTGTACATGTATATATACGTACATACGCAAGTGCATATATATGCAGAATAGTTCAGAGTTTCTACAGACTCTCTCAGACTTTTAAGTAACGTACAACAAACGATGAGAGGTGAAGGTGTCGGAAGCCGGTAGAAGGGGAAATCATTTGATTGTATCTATGCAAAAGAGGTTGAACGCACGATAAAACTCTGAACCCTTCCCGTATATAAAACTACCTATATCAAAGTCTGGTGATATGACGTCCAGATAAGTTAACAATATGGAGACTGAAGGATATATCTTGCCTTTTTATCCGCTTCAAATTAAGTAGATCCCGTGAAGGGACATTCAAGTGCAACTATTAGTGGATGTCAGTCTAAGCTCACTTCCTTGTCTTATTATATATAATTATAATTATTCACTTCTTATGGGACGCTATTTGAATTAATACCAAAGAATAGTCGCTCTGTCAATTATTGCATGAACATTTGATTATGATTAGAATTAATACTTGGCACTGACTATTGGCTTGTTAGTTTCCTTTAGTTACGCATTGAGGTTTCCGGTATTTTTTTCGGCAAAATAACATTTTACAGCGAAGCCGAATACGATTTATCTTCGTTTCTTAAATTAAAGCGATCCATGTAATCAACATGAAGACGGAAATCCTTAGCGTTAGAGTTTTTTTTTTTTTTTAATAATTTAACAAGATTAGGCTGAAGAAATTGTATATGCATAAGGTGCCAATAACAGAAGTGTGAACGTTCGTACTACATACAGATCGCTTCTCGAAGCAACGGAATGTTTTATAAATCAAGGAACAGAAGGATTGATTAGAGTAATACCTACTATATCAAAAAAAAAAAAACGTCCAAGATCAAGAAGTATATAATTTCGTACAACACACAAAACGATCACATTTCTAACCGAGAACTTTTATTGTAGATAATATTTATTTTTTAACGAAGTTCCTTTTTTGCGAGCGTTACGATGCTAGGCCTACATATTGTAAGCTATATTATAATTAATGAAACTCCAATATGTCATTCCATCGGAAACAGGATAATGATTACAATACGAAGACAGGAATGTTAGAAGTAAGCGTTTGTCACTACTCAAACGGATACCCGTGTGATTTGATTAAGACAGTATCCCTCCCTCGAATTTAATAATTGTGTACAGTGCAATGAATTTCCGAATATTTTTACTCATCCCTTCTCTTCTTTTTCTATACATCGTACTGAGGAACATTGTATCTTCTTGATTTATCCTCGCGCTATCGATGTTCCGATTACTGTAAGCAATGTGAGAGAAAGATTGGAATAAAAATTCAGCATATTTAAGCGTCCTGATGGCTCACTTGCGATCTCCCGAGAATGGTGTATTTATAAATTCAATTGCAGAATGGGCAATGGGCAGTATTGAGACGTGACGTTATTTGAATATGTGCAATATGAGACTTCAAGGACGTCCTATGGACATTTTATTTTTATTTAATTTACTCTTTATGGAAGAAAGGTTAGCTTCAATAATTGGGTTTTCTACCATCCGATATTCACTGCCAAAGCCGAAAATCAATAGTTCATGTCGCGAATACCGCGGTTCATATCTTGAATTCGCTTTTATCGATAATGATGTTTTAAATATGGCTCCTAAACCCCGTATCAGACCACGGATTGGATTGAAAATCGGCCAATCAGAGTAGAATTCACTGAATTTCACTAAACTTGAGTTTAATTAACTTTACACTGATTGGTCGGATTCAATTTAGTCTCAATCTCCGATCCGTAATCTGACATGGGCATTAAGGAGAATTCACACCTTGACGGAAAAACAGGAAGCCAATCGGAACTGGTAAGCAGTAGATAAAGCGGAAACTGTCAACTACCAGCGCGAGTTCTGATTGGCTGTTGCTTCTCTGCCGTCTCTTCTCATCAAGGTGTGAATTCTCTCTAAATTCTACATTACTCCGTCGGACATCGGGGACAGTGTGAATCCTGCATGACTGTACATCCAATCGGCTTCGCCACAGGAGTTGCGCACGCAGGTTGGAGATCACTTTCATTTGTCTGTTTGTCCCACGACTCTGCGGCAGCGCTACAGCCGTGGCACGAGCGGCCCTTTCCTTTCACGATGGTGGGTTCCGTAGTCGTTGATATGGAAATTGTAATCTCAATATATTTCTTGCATCGTCTAATTTTCTTAAGTATTTTCACAACACTCAAATCGCCTGTATTGTTGCCAGTTGTCGGTGATATTCGTTTTTTGGTGAAGGCGTCCGCGCTCAAGTTTATCGCCATAACCAAAAGACGAGGTTACGTTTCTGTCTTTAGTCGGCATCGTCACATGTTTAATCTGTTAGATAATAAATTTGCTAAATTAGCGCAACAATACGAAGTCTGTTAATCTAAACATTCTTACCATCTCATACATTTGATTCCCATTCATCCGAGTAATTTGTGAAAGTGTTCGTTGATAAGATCACAATAGACGATGCAAACATTAACCTAAGTAAACTAATAACAAACTGCGACTGTTAACAATCCCGTACCATTCGTAGGACTCGAAGAAGGCGCCTGTCAAAAAGAACGCGAAGCCCGAGAAGAAGACAAAGAAGGAGCCGAAGGATGCGTCGAAAAATGTGATGCGCGATGTGCGAATCCGGAAGCTCTGTCTGAACATTTGTGTGGGAGAGTCCGGTGATCGACTGACACGCGCTGCTAAGGTAAATTTTACAGCATTTTTTCCTCCTTTTCTTCGAGTCAACTCGAACTTCAAGTGAGGTCCAAGTATTAAGGTTAACTTATTGCATAGGTCTTGGAACAACTGACCGGCCAGCAACCCGTCTTCTCTAAAGCCAGATACACAGTCCGTTCTTTCGGTATTCGCCGTAATGAAAAGATCGCGGTACACTGCACAGTACGTGGTGCAAAGGCTGAGGAAATTCTCGAACGTGGCCTGAAGGTATACTCATAAATATTTACGTAAGCTCTTCTTGCTCTTACATTTCACTCGCATTCATATTATAATCATACGATCTGATATTTCGTTATAGGTGCGTGAATACGAATTGAAAAAGGAGAACTTCTCTTGTACTGGGAACTTTGGTTTCGGCATACAAGAACATATCGATTTAGGAATTAAGTACGATCCTAGCATCGGTATTTATGGTTTGGACTTCTACGTTGTGCTCGGACGCCCAGGTTAGTGGCACGTTTTAATTAGACGTTAATTATGTGTACGTGAATACTGCACATCATCTGGTATCATAGATATCTCAGTCTTATGTGTGATGTCTATCGTTGTGTTAAACATGTGCTAGAGAAAATGCTTCAAATTTGCAACACATGCCCACTTCTCTTACTGGGTGTGTTACTTAATTGAGGCTACACCTTTGTTGATTAACATTAAGAGGTTTTTTATGTCAGTCGTACTGAGATATTGAAACTCGGTGCTTTTTATGCATGGGCGATGAGTGAGAAAGGATCTTGTAAATTTCTCGAATGTGTGTTTTCTAGGTTTCAATGTGGCACACAGAAGGAGAAAAACTGGTAAAGTCGGTTTTCAACATAGGCTTACCAAAGAAGACGCGATGAAGTGGTTCCAGCAGAAGTATGATGGTATCATCATAGCTGGGAAGAAGTAATATACACAATTTGTATTTTACTATTCCATAAAATGTAAAATATTCAAAAAAAAGTAAAACGGCTACCGTCAAACTTTTTCTAACCTCTCATCTAACACTTTAGCCTACATGTTCTTTAGCATTCCGGATGTTTTATCACTTTTTATTGTGATTTGGAAAAATTACGAAATAACGGCAGGAAACAATTTATAGATGTTAATTTACACAATGCGTCTCTTATTTATAGCTGAAATTATATCACAATATTATCTTATAATAACTAATATATATGCGGGATTTTTAAGGCAGTGGTATAAGATAAAATTCAAATTTTACTCATTTGTATACACTAATCTCCTGTAATTATAAATCATACTTTTTTTATGTTTCTAATTAACGAAACAGACGAAAAAAAAAAATGATCGTTGTCTTATTGTCTACTTTATTTGATTTAGCGTACTGAGAGACGTTTCTCGACATTTAGATTTAGCACATTAAGAAACCCGTGATAACATTTAACTACATCCCTTGTTCAACGTATTTATCTCCGTGTTTGCGATTAATTATATTCGTACAAGTATATTATTAATTCTCAGTAACGCGTACAAACATAACGTAATCTCGATTACCACCGTGTTTTCTTGATCCGCTCTTTTATAAATAAACCAGAATCGTCGAGTTTCGCCTGACACCGGGAGACTCTCGTCTTGCTGAAATTCAGTTGCGAAATGAAAATTCACGCCGTTAAGTACTTAAATATATTTATTGTTCAATTTCGAGGTATGACATACCGCAATCTCTACTGTAACAATCGTTCGAATTACAGTGCAGATACCATAGAGACCTAGGATAATTACGTAGCACCTGGTGATGAGGGGCCTGCGAGACATGCTTGTTGTTGGTAGTCGTGAGCGGGAACGATCGGCAAGTTGAGAATAAATCCATACGAATCATCTCGGGATGAAGTAAGGTGACGAAGTGAAGTACACGCTACGGTAAAAATATCACGATCTAAGACGCAACGTATCGGCCGACAACAGAGAAGAGAACCTCTTTACAGGTGCTAAGACCTCTCGGGATCTCGCAATCGATAATAAATGGATCTAAAGACGCGTGCGAGACGCACACGAGACGCTTCACTTAGTGCTAAGATCGCGCGTCGCTGAAACATACAGAAGCGACACGCGACGTGTGATCAAATTGTGATCACAACCAGGAGGAATCGATCTACCTCGTAAAACGCATCGTGTCTACATTACCCGTACACCGCTCGCGTCCTCTGTGGAAACTGATCGGTGAAATCTATTCGCTGCCGGAGCAGCTTGGATCGAGCGGAGAGGAGAAGAAGGGGATTTCTCCGGCGAATTGCACACCGGGAATTCGTCGGGAATTCCTCTTCGTGCCGTGTAAGCCCAGGTATGTTGTACACCTTGAATCTCTGCACTCTCCGTCGTATCATGTCAGTTTTTACACGAAGCTAAACGCGCGCGTTTCTCGTCTCGGATGATCCGTCTCGTTTAATTTCACCGCAATTATCGCCGATACCGTTCGATTCTTGCAACGTGACACGTTGAAACGAACATATGGCATGTTGTGCTTTGCTACTCGAGAGAGAGAAAGAGAGAAAGGAGTGAGGGGGGAACGGAGGTTCTACGTTCTATCTAAATGCATTTGTTAACGCATTCTAAGTCCTTCATGCAGGGATATTTTAATTTCCATCATATCGAATACGCAACTCGCTCTCTTTTTTACGAACACACACGAAAGAGAGAGAGAGAGAGAGAGAGAGGCTCAAAAATTTCCCTCGGTATCTTCGCTCCACTATTTAAAAACTACGTACGCGCGCGCGGCTTGGATAAAACAATGATCGAAACGGGCTAAGTTACACCGCTACTGCTGGGACTCCCTTCGTTCTACGGTTGATCCTGTATTCCTCGAGTATCAGTACAAAATGTAATTGCAGGAAAACACGACACCCCCCTCTACCGATCGCGCGCGACTCGCCGGTCCGACGGAGGACCGGCGAATTCTATTTACAACGACGCACACACGCGCGCGCGCACACATACACGTGGCTATCCCCGTCGCAACTTTCATCCTTTCGGGGAACTCAAATTCTTCTTAGGCCTCGCCGTACGACGACGGTCTCGACGAAACGACGAAAAGGATATGTGAGCGGAGATGCAGAACAGGACAGCGACAGAGCGTTGTTTTCCAACTTAATTTATTAATTTGTACGTCTATGTACAAGGCTGCGGACGAGCTAAAACACTCTCTTTTTTTTTTCTTTTTTTTTCTATAATACATCATAGGTCACTTACACGTAAAACTCAGGCCCAATTGCGGGAAATAAGGTTGCAATAAATTAACGAGTCGCGAGGGAAATCAGGACTAAAGAACGGGCGAGGAGGCGCTTCTTCGTCAGGCCGCCGGCCTCGCGTAACTGCACCTTACTCGACTATGTACAGTATTACGTTTGTGACTCAACGCTAAATGCGCAATCTTCCGCGTGCAAAGACTGACAATAGCATTGGCAATGCCGCTACAGACTTCCTGTCGTCATCGTTATCAAGCATTCGCCGGAAAAAAGAAAAAAAATATATATATATATAAATCAGCACCAAAATGGAATAACGTTGTGCTAAGTCGCATAAAATGTTGTATCATAGAGCGATGCATCACCCTGTGCATTCCGTCCCCGTTGTTAATTACTGATTTATGCATGTGTTGATGATGACTGCCCCCCCCCCCCCC